CAGGGTGTATAGACAGCGCTGCCCAGTGGTTACAGCTGCAGCAGGGAGGAGGGACCTGGCTTCTCTCCCCCCCTAAAGTGGGGTTCCTACGGGTTGGGGGGGGCAGGTCCGGGGGGCCCGGACGCCTGGGTTCTCCCGCACTCACTACTTCTGCTCGTGGTTGCCGGGGCAGGTCATGTAGGGCACCGTGGCTGCCAGCGGCTCCCCGGGGCGCATGAAGGCGTCCCCCACACGGGCGTCGTTCTGCTCCGGGAGGTGTGGGGAGGGGGGGAGCGAGAGGCACAGAAAGCATACATGTTCACATGTGTGTAAGCATGCACCCTCGTGCACATGTGTGCAGAGGCAGGCCCACACAGGCCCGCTCGCGCGCACATGCACAGACTCACAGGCGCACCCATATATGTACGTGTGCATGCTGTCATGCACACACACATGCCTGGGCGCACATATGCACGTGCGGACCTGTGCACGCAATTGCACACATAGGCACACTCACATCTGCCCAGAGGTGCTCATACCTGCCCACGCTTGTGCACAGAGAGACACTCCTGTGTGTACCTGCAGACACACTCATGCACATAGACACACATGCATGTGCACACCCCTTGCAGCCCCCCCTGCTCCTGTCAGTGCCCCCCCTCACTCCCGTGCCCAGCCTCCAAGGGGGTGCTGGGGTGGGGGCACTCACCCAGTCCATGTCGTAGGCGAAGTCCCCTGGGGGAGCAAAAGCAGCCACGTAAGCCCTGAACCCAGCCCCCTGGATCAGGCCTGGATCGGGCCCAGGCAATGCAGCCAGCTCTGGGGTGCAGCAGCCAAGTATAAGACTGCCCAAAGAGAGCCCTGGGGCCAGCCCCCTCCCCCCAGCCCTGTCCCCTTTATCCCCCCACATCCAACCAGGCCCAAGATGCGGCCAGCTCTGGGGTGGGAGCGGCTGAGCGGAACGTACCCACGTGCAGGACAGCATCGTAGAGGCCGGCGCTGGCCTCGCGCTGCAGCCGGGGCAGCGCACGGGGGTTGACCAGCCCCATGTCCCCGTAGACGGCCACGCGCGGGCTCCAGGCCGTGCCGTTCCGCAGTGCCCGGAACTGGAAGTGCCGGCTCCAGCCCTCCTGGCTGCCGCAGCGGTACACTGTGGGGACACGTGTGCAGAAGGGTCAGGGCCACAAGGGAGTTGCGTGTGCATGTGTGCAACCGGGAGAGTCTGAGATGAGCACGGGCCTGTGTGTGCACACGCTTGGGTGTGCGCAGGCGTGCCCTTGCCTAGGTGTGCGCTTCACACACGTGTCTAGGTGCATGAGGGTCTGGGGGTATATTTGTGTCCTGACTGCAAATGTGCACAGGCATGTGTTTACACACGTGCCTGGGAGCATGTCCGCGTGCACAGATCCAGCAGCACATTTGCACAGGCGTGTGCCCAGGCATGCATTTGTACATGCATGCACTACGCTGTGTGCGTTTGCACATGAGTGCGCAGGCACGTGTCTTTTCACGCCCGTGTCTGGTTGCACATCCATGCATGCCTGTCCACGACTCGGCATTGGCACGCACATCTGGGTGTGCATGTGTGCTGCCTGCCCCCCGCTGGGCACACATATGTGCCCCCCAATTACCGTAGTGCTGCCCGGGGACCAGCCCGCGCAGAGTGACGCGGTGCATGTAGAGGACGCGGCGCAGGAAGCCGCCGTCCACGAAGCGCTGGGTCGAGCCCGTCGCCTGCCACGGCAGGCCCGGCCCCCGCGCCCCGCCCC